GCTTGCCAAAAAGGAAAGCAGGTCAAGTCCACCTTCAAAGCAAAATCGGCACCCTCAACTACAAGGATATTAAGTCTTATTCACATGGACTTATTTGGCCCCGTTACACCAATAAGTCTAAGTGGAAAGAAATATGTCCTGGTGGTAGTTGATGATTACTCAAGATACACGTGGACAATCTTCCTCAACGGCAAGAAGGCATCGTCGTCGTCCATCTCATCCCCATCGATGGCATCGTCGAACTCGTCTTCATCCGGGGAGCTTGACGAGGCGTAGGAGTCATCGGCTTCGTCTTCATCACCGTACACTTGCCCAAGGAACGTGTCGTGGTACGGTGGGGGGACGTAGTTGATGCCTTGGAAGTACGCGTTCATGGCGTACCCTTGGCGTTGAACAGCTACGTCGAGCCGTTCAAGGTAGCCTCCCATCCCGTCAACTTTGAGGTGGAGCCGGTTGAGGGAGTCGGCGATGGAGGCGAGGTTGGCCCGGGCCTGGGGTTCGGCTGGGCCAGCGGCAGGGGCAGTGCGGCGTGGCTCGACAATGGCAGCCGCGGCGTTGTCCGACCGCTTGGTGAAGGTTTGGTTGCTGATGGTCCAAAGCTTCGTGGTGGTGGTTACCTTGAACCGTTCAAGGATGTCCATCACCAAAAACGGGTACCGGAGGAGGTGATCGTGGTCGGTGGACGCGGCGATCGTCATGTTGATCATGACAAACTTCGCCCAATTGATTGGGGCCGAGTGCATGATCGCGTGGACTAGCTTGAGGTCCTCTCCGGACATGATTGTGTGGTCGTGCTTCCGAGGTTTGATGATTCGGGAGACGATGTAGAGGACGAGGCGGCTTTCGGGGTTAGCGGAGTGGATGGTGGGGCGGCCCGAGGCATGGCGAATGAGCTCGGTGATGCCAAGCTCGTTGAGGATAAGGCCCTCGTTGTTGAGCACCCAGTCCTCTCCGCCATAGTGAGACACATCGTCGCCTGGGATGGGGAGGCCGGCGATGCGCCCAAGCTGCTCCACGGTGAGCTCAATCGGCGTGCTCTTGACAAGCGAGTAGAGCTCGTCGTCCTCACACCGGATGTTGGAGTAGAAGGCCCGGATTAGCGCCGGGTTGATCTCCTTTCGAGCCCGGGAGACGAACGGCCAAAGGCCGGCTTGATGAAGCTGTGCGTCAAGGTCGTCGTAGCCCTGCAGCTCCGGGTAGCACTCCGGGATGATCCGTGGGGGAGCCACAACCCGTTTGGAGAAGAAAGTGAGGAAACGGGTGCGTTCCTCCTCGGAGTCAAACCAAAGGTATGACCCGTCTCCGTAGTAGAGGCGCTCCTCGGAGGATGACGTAGGCGCCCAGGATTTGGACTTTGATTTCCCGGAGGTGGCAGCCCTGCTCTTGCCCTTGCCCATGATGAAAAAAAAGTTACAAAAGAGGAGAGTAGGGATGATGGAAAAAGCAAAGATATTGAAGAGAATTGTGTTTGTGTGTGTAAAAGTGAGAAGAGAGGGTCCAAATATATAGGAGAAAGGGTGACCAACGTTCAAAATTTTGAAAAAATAGCTGTTGGAGCTTTTAATGCAGTTGCCAACGGTATTTTTTTTTTTGAAAAATTTGACCAGAACAGCGATGTTCCAATGGCTACATCGCTGTTGGGACAGCGCTGGTGAGCCTAGTACAGCGCTGTTCTGCGTCAAGGTTTTTTTAAAAAAAGAGTCAACCAGACAGCGATGTTGGGTACCCTACAGCGATGTTCCAAAAGTTTCTGGAATTGAGTGAGGGTTTGAGCCCATTTGAACAGCGCTGTTGGGTCTCCCTACATCGCTGTTTTACGATTAAGAAAAATTTGTAAAAAAAATTGACAGCGCTGTTGCTAAGAGGACATCGCTGTTGAAAAAATTTCTGGTTTCATTAATTAAAAGGTGTTTTGGAAGACAACGATGTTGAAAGAGGGACAGCGCTGTAGAGAAAGTTTCTGGAAAGAGTAAGGAAAGGGAACTCCCTGGGACATCGCTGTTGGCTTGTTGTACAGCGCTGTTAGAAAACTTTCTGGCTGACGGTGTTTCCCTCAACAGCGCTGTTGTGTCTCCTCAACAGCGTTGTTTGCATGGTTCCCCCTGATTTCATGAACGGGGTACCTGCAAAAAAGAAGAAGTTCTCTGACGCTCAAGTTAGTAAACGTTTAATAAATTTAGATGCACAACTTAGATCATCGTGGAGTCAAGGATTCCGAGTTCACTTCGAATGCGGAAGAACGACTCTTTCTCTAAAGGTTTTGTGAAAATGTCGGCTAATTGGTTGTGTGTTTCAACAAACTCAATTTCGACATCACCTTTGAGAACATGATCTCTAATGAAATGATGCCTAATGTCAATGTGTTTCGTCCTTGAGTGAAGAACGGGGTTCTTCGTCAAGCTTATGGCGCTAGTATTATCACAACGAAGAGGGACGTGGTTGATAGTAAGGCCATAGTCCACGAGTTGTTGCTTCATCCAAAGAATTTGAGCACAACAACTACCGGCGGCTACATATTCCGCTTCAGTTGTGGATAACGCAACACTGACTTGCTTTTTACTAAACCATGAGACTAGAGAGCTACCAAGTAAGTGGCAAG